TTTAAAGTGTATTTTGTGTTAATTAAAGCCTAGCATACACAATCGTGTGGTATATTTTTTTGAGCATTCTTTATCATCAACTTATATCCTAATAACCAAATGTTGCGAGTTTCCATAAAATCGTAAGCTTTTTTCTAGTGCTGAAAGGGATAAATAACTTGATGTCCTACAATCCCTGCACAGACATTCACTTTTTCTGGACGTTGAGTATGACCTTCCCTCATTCAATGTGGATTCTTGTCCACCCAATATAAACGTAGATTCATGAGAAACCACAATGTTCTATAGTAGAATGTTGTTCGTGTCTAGTTGACCCATAATTTGTTCACAAAATTGCAGACTTATATCAGGATCATCTTCCTGGCTAATGTCAACATAATTAGATATCTACCTGGTAGAGATATTAAGATTTTCTTGAACAGATAGGAGTACATTCAATTTGATATCTTCACGACAGTTTGTCGATGAGTACTTGTTTTTCTTACATGCCCGTTTCCCCTAAATTGTCTTACTATTTTACTTACAGTACTTTGCGAAATGGGTGGCAGGTTGAGATATTTTTCTCTGAATAGATGCGTAACTTCTGTTTGTGTTCTTGCTCTATCTTCATATCCAATCATTTGTATAATTTCAATCTTGAGCTTTACAGTTTAATAAACCATATTGGACGATTTTTCCAAAAGAACCGACTTTGTTAATAATCGATATGTATTTTTAAACTTCAAAACCACAGCAATACCATCTTTTTGTTTAATAACTAGATCATAAAATGATAAGTACTACACAAGTTGTCCAAGTCTTAAGACATGACATTTTCCAAATTGATTTTTTCTGTAGTTTGTAAAGAATAAAAATTTGATATTTTGCAGTTATATACAACTTTACAAACCCTATAAAAATAGCCATCAAAATGACAGTGTTGCCATTTAAGAAAATCCACAATGACGTCATATCTCTAAATTGAAACACCCCGTATACATTATTGTTGTACGTAAAAAATCGCGATTGGAAATACTAATCGACTGATCTGAGCATATTTCAAAAAAACATTAGTATTTGAACTATTGAATTTATTCCAAAATACAGACTCTCTCTGTATAGGCTAGCCCATTTAAAAAATAGTATTTATGTTGTATCCCTTGAAATATGCACGGCACTGATGTGGGGGTTATGATTGACAAGTTGTGTTATTTTTAACAGGTCTGTTATTTTATAAACACACACAAATTACAACCTGTTCACAAATAACGTGTCTGTTAAAAATAACTTAACCTGTCCATCATAACCCCGTATATTTTTGATGGCATTTTAACAAAATTCAGTTAATATAAATATACAATAATAACTATATGGTATAAAGGGCGGATAATTTTATAATGAATAATCCTGTACCTAATTAACTTTCAGCAAAAATAATATAATTTTAATTTTCACTTTTTACGTAGGTAGATGAAAGAAAAAATTAGTTTCGTGTTTTTTTTTGGTGCGGACATTTTGCTACATACTGTATATTCATTTGAATAATTTTTTAAATTTGACTAATTTTTCTGCGAAGCATCGCTCATTAAAAATATATATTTATTTCTAAAAAAATTATTAATAAATATGTTTTCATAATGGTTTAAGTTTTTAAGTCTCACTAAATAATGTTTGTTAACATTATTTCTAATAAGCTTTAACAAAACTGAAATATTTTGATTATTCAACATAAAAATTGGTTTAATACGTTTTACATCAAACAATAATTTAAAGACAACACAATACATAAACATAGACAAATAATACAAATATTAATCAAAAATAAATTTTATTATAATTCAATGAACACAGTGCCATCCAAGTTACAATAATTCCTCGTGCAGTTCTATCCTAATAATCCTCGCAGTAGTACGGCAGTAACCTAACTCAACATGGCAGTACATACATCTTAAAAATTTATCAAAAATACAATCGTTCATTTAATGCACATAATTATTAAAAAAAGATTATTTTATTAAATAAAAATAAGATTTAAGAATGTTTAATATAAAGAGAGATTGATTGTTAAAAAGGAAGAGTCTGCATAGAGGTTACTCAGTGATTTCAGTGATCTCAGGCTTGTCTTCAGCAGTGTCCGAGTAGTCTGATTTTTCAGTGTATTCGTATCTTTCCGTTTTTTCACTTTTTTCAGCTTTTTCAGCTAGAAGGAAAAGAAAACCAACAACATCAATACACACAATGTTAGAAAAAATCGAAGCTGTGAAGAATATGTTAATGCGAATTGCATAGTGATGAATGTTAAAAAAAATTGCTTATTTGAAAATATTTCAGATGGTGTAATTTTTAGTATGCATGATTTGAACCTCAAAACATTGGAAGGAAATTCGAATAAAACAAATTAATTTAATAGTAGTGCTAAAATTTTAAAGTTTTACATTTAGTAAACAGTGAATCAATTCCAGTTATCAATTTTTCTTTTCTTAAAGGATTGATTTAAAATACCCTATTTCAAATGTTGAGAATTATTATTAGAGAAAAATTTTGCAGTTTTTCGTAAATGAATTTTAACAAATTTTCAGCAATATTTCATACAATAAATCAATTATAATTTATTGCATGAAATATTCTAGCTAAATTTAATGGATATATGCAGAACGGGCTTGTGAATAAATATAAATAAAAATAATTTGTTTTGTATATTCATCTTCAGGAAAGAAATTTTATATACGAGTCAAATCACCTACGTATTTATGGTTTTATAGATTTTATAAGAATATTCTACCCTTAAGAAAAGATGATGTGAATCGAAATTTATAGTGAAATGCATAATTTTAGGTAAATCACCCTTTGGGATTTTTGTCTAAATTACTAAAGTTTTAATGAATAGAATTTCTTCAAATGAAGAGTTATGGCTTATAACTTTTTTGTTTACTTAAAATAAAAGATATTTTTTGAAAAATTCTCAAATATAAAAAGAATTTGGATGTTATGTATACGAACATTTTTTTATTTTGAGGTTCCCATCAGCTTCTCTTTGTTGCATGTATCAAAAAATACTGTATTCTTTTTAAATTTTTTGTAATTAAATACAGAATATGAAATACTATTTTTGAAAACCAATTAAACATTGCTTATTCATGATGAATACTTCATAACTTCTTTCACAAATCTCATTTTTCTGATGTCCCAATCTTATGTCATATTATTCTATACCTGTTCTTTTTGAAGAAGATTTTTTAAAAAGGGTTAATTCACATTTAATTTTTTTTTAATTTTAACTGCCATTAAAAATTTAAAAGTGATAATTATAAAATTAATTTTTAACTACGAACAAAAATTGCCCCAGAGAATTTTTTTTCATGTTTTATTTTTTACACATTTTTATTTATTTTAGTAGAGACCTTTTTTAGGTATTTATTCACGTTATTATTAGAAATAAACCAAATGAACAGCATTTTAAGTGGTTTTTTTATTCAATATTTCCAATAAATTAAGAAAACTAATTTTCTAAAGCGAGAAAAAGTACATTGGTTCACACAATTTTAAGTGAAGAAGCAAAATCAGTGTTTGTATAGATATGTATGTATAATGTATATGTATATTTACAAAATCCCACTTTTTTGTTAGGAAAATTTCAAAAATAACAGTGTGATTGTTAAAAAAATTCAAAAATAACACTGTGAATGTTAAAAATTTATATAAAAAGTTACCCGTACAATAAGTAGATACTACAAAAAAAAACTGTAGCAACTCATAGAAGATCAAAAGTTCTTCATCGTAATTTTAAATGCGTTAAGATATTTTTTATAAGGACAAACCAAAAATCATTAAAGACATTTCTAGTTGATTATTTACTCTAAATGTTTAAATGCCAGACCAACAGTGACTACTAGAAGAGGTGACATTTACAAGAAAAAATGCATATGTAGTGAATATATGATGATACTTAAAAATTACTGCCAAATTGAAGAGGTTAATTAGACACAAATTAAGGCATCAAAATCCATCAATCAAATAAAATGCACCAGCATTGATAGAAATATACGAAAGAGCATTTTTTTATTTTATAGTATCAAAATGTGATAAACTAAAGTGATACTTTAAAAATGACAAAAAGGAACTGAAATTTTATTGTGAGGAGATTCTCTTTTAAATGATCCATCTAAACTTAAAAAAAGTTCATATTCTACCAATCAGTAGAGGAGCTGTGTCATTGCTACTACTTTGATAAGAGAAGATAAAAGATATATGGTTATTTTTAGAAGCACCCATCCAAGACTGGTTTTAAAACCATCTACACAACTATTTTAGAACCCCTATCACTTTCCCACATCCCACCTCTCCCTTTATTTTTAGTTTCGTGAGTCACTCGAAAAATAGTATTCTCTATTAAGAGTTTTAAAAAGATTCCAGCATGGCGGCGGTTCTAACATCCTCTCATCTTTTTTTATCTTATTTTATCAGCACGATAGAAATGAGATAGATCATCTACTTCCTTTTCAATAGTTGAAATAATGTACGAAATATTAATACTATAAAAATTACTCAAACTGTATCTACAATCTTGCTAATTTTCAAAGATTTTTGGCAAATGTCGGTTTAAAATTTGGTTAAAAGAAGTTTTTGATTCTCTTGGGTCTCTTAATTTTAAAGCAATAATTCATTTGGATCTTAAAATAAATTGAAGATCAAAATACGTGCCAGAAGTAGTCTAATTGATTCATAAGTTTTCCAAACAAGCAGTCATCAAATATTCACTACATATATATTTTTTGTACTCAAAGATATTTAATTGCGACACGTGGCATATGACATTTTATATAACAACTTGGCATGTGATTAGAAAACCTTTATTTGCATTATTTATTATTAGTGGAGTAAAATTTAGTCAAAAATCTGATCTGATTATCAATTTTACTCCACTATACACCAAAGGTTCCATGTTTGCTAAATAACTACAACAATAATCAAATAAAACGCTCAAACTTAAACTAAATGATATGGAACAAAGAATAATGTACCTTTTGCAGTTTCACTGCCACTAGTAACAGCTTTCTCGTGCTTGAACTTATTGATGTAGTAGCTTAACAGCTGGATGTCGTTCTTCATTGGATCTTCGTAGAGATATAGATGGGGGCGGCGGCTGTAGCCCCTATCGCCTGCGTATGATACACATGCTAGGTGACCACTTCCTGGATACATTGACATATGCACCAGGTTGAATGAGGGAAAAACTTGGTTTGCGTTGGTTGCAAAAGCAGTCGGAGCAGCTTATTAAAAGATGGTGAAGAATAGCAGGGCAGGCTTCTCATGCATGTGTGGGTAAAAAGCAAAAGTGAAATAAAGCAATTACAAACGCCATGAAGAGATTATGATCGCTAATATTTTAAACTGATCGAATGGTGAATAGAAAAACCAAACTCTAAATCTTTTAGTTACGAAAATGTTTTGATATATACATTTGGTAGTTACGGGGTAACTTATTTCAGTTTTATATGGCTGGCAATAAGCTTGTGGTGGGACAAACGAGTTACATAAATCTTCAAGGGTTCAAGATCGCAAATATTTCAAATTGACCAAATGGTGAATGAAAAAACCAAACTCAAAATTTTTTCATTTTAAAAATGTATTAATATGTACATTTGGTAGTTAAGGGCAACTTATTTTGGTTTTAGGTAGCTATCATCAAGCCTGTAGTGGGATAAAGCAATTACATACATCATCAAGAGAGCAAGATCTTTAAAATCTGAAATTAACCAAATGGTAAATGGAACAACTAAACTCAAAACCTTCTAATCCTAAAAATATATTTATATGTACATTTAGTAGTTAAGGGGCAACTTATTTTGGTTTTTTATATCTCTCATCAAGCCCAGAGATGTAGAAAGTCATTCATAAATGTCACGAAGAGAACAAGATAACCAATATCTTGAATTGACTAAATTGTGAATGTAAAAACCAAGCTCAAAATCTTTTAATCACAAAAATGTATTGATATGTACATTTGGTAGTTAAGGGGCAAATTATTCCGGGTCTATGTGGCTATTATCAAGCTTGGAGTGGGATAAAGCGATTACATATTGTTACGCAGCACCCTGAAGCGTGCTGCAGTCGTCATAAGTAAAGGTACGAGTAAATGAAGAAGATAGAATATTCCCGAAATGTCTCGAAATGTCATTCCTTGTCAAAGAAAAGTCCAGATTGTTCGAGAAGGGTCTAGAAGGTCGAGGCAAGCTATATAAGTCGACGACCTGACGTCAGAGTGCAGTTTTTATGATAGACGTTACACGTTGATGTTATCAGTTAGAGTTATTATGTCAGTTGAATTAAGTTATTGTAAAAGTTGAATTTTCAATAAATTGTGATACCAAAAACCAGCGTAACAATATATTATCAAAAGAGCAACGCCTTCAATATCTCAAACTGACCAAATGGTGAACAGAAAAATCAAACTCAAAATCTTCTAAACGCAAAATGTATGAATATGTACATTTAATTGCTAAGGGGAAACATATTTCGGCCTTATATAACTATCAAACTTGGAATGGATGAATCTTTAAGAGAAAAGATATCCAATATCTCAAATGGTGAAATGAACAAATAAAACTTAAAATATTGTAGTTACAAAAATATATTGATATTAAAAGGGCAATTAGTTTCGACTTTATATGGCCATCATCAAGTTTGGCGTGTTAGGATGTTTTGCCATTTTGAAGTTGAGGATTTAAATACTTAAGGTGATTTGTTGATTTTAAAGGGGTTATATTTTTAATAAATAAAGTAGTAGCCTTTAGATATTTTTTGAAATCAATAAAGATTAATTGCTAACTCTTTGTTAATCAAAATATTATACACAGGTGTAGAAAACATTTTTTTAAACGGAATATAGTTATAATACAGTAAAATTGCAGTCAAATTTAGTAATAAGCAGTTTTTTATAATATTAGTTGCGGAATGTAAATATTATTGATGTCTTTACGGGTTTTTAAGGGTAAGTTCTCAAATTTATTATATTCTAAACCAAAAAATGACTTGAAAAACTCTGTTTTAAACTTTGTCTAATTTTAAGTTTAATTTTAAGCGCAATAGTTAATATAATTCTGATTTATCTTGTTCGAAATACCATGCAATTTTTTGTCTATTTACAAAATCTACAACTTATAAATATGGGATTCGTTTTTTTTTTTTTTTTTAGTTTTATTGAATTAGTTTTCTCTGGTGAAGCAATTTCTTACTGAAAATTGCTTACATTTCTTCACAACTAAGGAAATTAGTTTTCGAAAGCTTTTTTGGTGCTTATATATAATAATAATATTTATTTCACTCTAAAATTAAATACAATATTCTTTTTAATTTTCTTACAATTATTAAATATATACAGATATAACCAAATACAAGTACACCGATTTTACATTACCGATTGTATAATATAATTTAAACATATAACCCCAATTGTTACTATAATTCTTTATATAGAAGCGAATACATGAATATATTTGAATTTTTGTGTCACAGAGAGAGATCAAATTCATATTTTCCGTTCCTCTTCATGCACTTAAATTTGCAAGGTATATTTTTCTGTACCTTTAACTTTGTATCAAAACAAAATTCTCGTTTTCAATCACTTTTTCAATCAAAAACTTTTTGAAAAATAAATGAGCCTTTTAAAAAAATGTGTGTCCGTTCTCCATCTACCTTTATTCATCTTCCATCTATTCAAAATTTATCTAGGTCTCTGCAGAAAGGAGAGTGTCGACTGGACAAAGGACTTATTTAATAAACATTGTATTGTGTAAGTAGGTTTTTTAATTATCTATCCAACCTTAACAATAATTATACATGTTTTTTATCCACTAAACGTGTTCGTAGATTATTTGATTGATTTTAGATTTGTTAGATCTTGCATTCACAAGAATTCTAAATCTATCCACCAATGTTATGACGCAGTAAGTAAATTTCGATGGATTATGAAAAATAACAGCTTAACTATAAAATTAGTTTCTTCCATCTACCTTTCGATGCAGAAGTTCGTCAATAATTTTAATTAAATAATCGGTCATTTTTCTATAAAACACAGAAACAGTATGGTTCTACTACTATTTTAATACCTAGTACACAATATTTGGATAAGTGCAGTTGGTTCTCCACCGAACGTGGAGTTACCGCCTTTTGAACAAAAAATCCATATGAAAAGCAAGAGCTTTGAGTTCTGGCGACTCACTTAACAGGACTAAAAACATTTTATGGACGTCCTTTTGAAGGAAATCATCGCATCACAATACGTTATCCTTGTCCCTATTTCTGTTTCGTACTATCCCGTAAACGTTTAGGAACAATTGAAAGCGAACGATGTCAGAGTTGGATTTTATTCAAATTCAATTTACCGACTGGAATAAAAGTGTAAAACGAAGGATATTTTTTTGTCATCATTAACAACTATTAATCTTAAATAGAATAAGGATAAATTTGGTTTCCTTGAAATCGATTTTCATTTCATATTATACAGGTATGTGTATCATAAAAAAAGTGATGTCAGTTCATACATTCTTTTTTTTTTAATGTCTTACCATCCATCTGCATAGGCCTGTCACCAAAAAATTACAATACATCTATGTTATTATTTAAATGAAAAAACCAAAAGGTAGATTAAAAAAATTTTTAATTTAAATTTTCCATGACAATAATTGTTTCCAAGCACAACTTCTTCAAATTTAGGTGTCTAATATACAGGGTGGCTCACGCTCAACGGGACGGAGCTTTATGGGAAAACGACCAAAGATATAAAAAATTCGTTTGGGAGGAATACGTAGGTTACAGACGGCTACAATTTAAAATTTGTTAGATGTATACAGGATGTCCCACATAAAAAAAAATTAGTTCATTAAAAATTATTCAAACAAGAGTAAACAATTAATTTCTGGGAGACTTTTTTTCCTTAAAAATTCAAATAAATCGAAAACTAATAATAATAGTAATAGGGAACCTTTAGTTAACTGACATTATTTTTGATGTAGTTTTTAATTCTAAAATAAAAAACAGGGTGTTCCATTAAAAATAATATAACTTTGTATATTTTCTCTTATGTGGGACATCCTGTATACATCTAACAAATTTTAAATTGTAGCCGTCTGTAACCTACGTATTCCTCTCAAACGAATTTTTTATATCTTTGGTCGTTTTCCCATAAAGCTCCGTCCCGTTGAGCGTGAGCCACCCTGTATATACAAGGTAAACTAAATAGTTAAAATACTTAAGAAATATATTTATAAAATTCCAATAAGGTATTATCATTACCTGGATTATCCCACAGAAAACTAAGAACAGGTAAAGATATTTAATAAAGGTGAATTATTAATATATAATTGAATGGGTAATTGGAAAATGATAAAATTCCAAAATAATGGCGAATTAAAGTGAGATAGCCAGTTTGTTCTAATTTCTCTTATTTTCCCGCTGAGCGCAAAACCAATAAAATCTCCGATACGGTTCACATCATAATTTTATTGGTGAGTGGAAAAAGGATAATATTTCTGGAATTTTATCGTTTTTCCACGCGTTAGGTTAGAAATTGGAAATTCGAGTTCTCTGCAACCAGTTAGTTGATGTTTTGTCGAGTACAAAAGTAGTGTTTTAATAGTAAGTGAATATTAGATTAATTATAATCTAAAAAGTAAAAGTTTAGTCCACACCAAAAGTACTTGAGTATCTAGATATTTTAAATAAAAATATTAAAATTTAATCTCTATCGAATTGTCAGATCAGAGGGAGAACATAAAGAAAAGAGATACCTAATGAAGCTAATAGAAAGACACGATATTGCCATTGTCCTGCAACAGCAGAGTCGATACACTATTCTGCTTCTTTCAAGTATTTTGCTATGAAAGACAAATGCAGGTTTAAAATTTACCACAGTGCATTTATGATTTGCACGTTCTCTCCAATAAAGTCATACAATGCTTAACTAAGATTCTTGAAACTAAAAATACACCAGTTGATATGCTAGGAAAGCATGCAAATCGTGCAAATAAAGTAGATGGAGCGATTGTTGTCAAAATTGATGACCATATAAAATCATTTCCGAAAAAAGAGTCTCATTATTCTTCTAAGTTTATTACCTACTTAGATGCCAGTTTAAACTTTACTAAGATATATGAGCTGTTTATTACTGAAAATCCTGATCTAAATTTTACAAAAAACTTTAAAAAAATGAAGGGGACCTGCAGGGAGAGAAATGACGTTGCAGCAGTAGTTTCTGATTATATGCAAAACCTTTTCCTTCCCTTAATACCAGTTCAGGAAATGTTTTATCTGCGCCAATTTTTTTTAATGTCCATACCCTTGGCAATAAAATATTGGTATTCTACACGAACACAGAAGGAGATGCTCAGCGAGGTCCTAATGAAGTGAGTACGTCGATTTTGGATTTCATTACCCAACATATCCCCGAGGAAGTAAAAACCCTGCATGTTTTTAGTGATGCGTACGCTTGACAAAACCGAAACCACACTTTAACCAGGTTGTTTACTGCGGTGTAAATGAACGGCAGATTTGAGGTGATCCATCCATGGCTAACTAATACCAATATACTTGATTTTAACAGCTGGTAGCCCAATTCTTCAAAAAGACTTGCAAAGATGTTGAAAAGAAAACAGTCTTTTTACCATCACCAGATACAGACATTTGACATATACCTACGCACTTGAAGGCTATATCAGAGCATCTGATTTCATTGATGATTTCACTCATGGTCTGTTTAATATGAAAAAAAAAAGATAATGTAGACCTTCTCCATTCGAAAGCATCCAACGGAAAATTTCCTATCATCGCGAAGAAGTACATCACATACCCGAAGACTACAGGACCTTCTATGATTCTATACTGTCGAATCCTACAACAAATAGAGAAAATAGTGACCCAGAAGACTGCAAACCAAGTAAATATTAGTTATTATAATGTTGTGTTCTTCAATAAATACTATTTCTTTGTAAAGGCCCTTTTTTTTTAATTATTGAATTTTAGTGGAAAAAGGATAAAATTTCAAATACCAGTAGCTAGTTACCCAATAGATACAAACCGTTCAAACTTTGGCATCAAACGTACTTTGTAAAAGTAAACAATTGGTCAATAGTAATGATTTTTTTTCTTATTTTCCAAAAATAAGGCTCACTGGAATGTTATCCTTTTTCCAATCGCCCATTCAATTGATCAATAATTAGGTTATCTAAATTTTTAAATTTCTACAAGCTAGCAATAATTACAGCATACTTAAATTTGATTCAACAGAAAAATATCATAAAAAAACTAAAACTTAATATCAGGATTCAACAGCAATATTTGATTCTAGGGAAAAATTCAAACTAATACAGATGAACCTTTAATCACCATAACTTTTTTATTTAATAAAATTACACAGACATAACTATCCTATTAGACCAGTTGTATGATTTGTCACGCCTCCACAAGAAAATTACAAACTCTATTGAAAGTAGAGTATACATTTTTTTTTATAAATTTACAAAATAATACAAAAATGTTTGTAACAGTTCCTCGACTATCATAAAAAGAAAACTTGTAAAATGTGGGAAATAAAATGATTCTTAAATAACAGATTTTATTTTAACAGCATGGTTATTTTTTACAAAAAAAAACTATCAAAACCGTAAAATACCCTATCTAAAACCAAACTATACTAAATATCTAAACTAATTATAAATCGCTGGTTAATATAGTAAACAATTTACCATGTAATGTCTTTGTACTTGAGTATCGGACTTGATCGATCTTCAATATTAAGTTCCACAACAGCTTCGTGTTGTGGCATATAAGCCGCTGGACTGCGACGCACGTAGAGTACCTTCGGCAAGTAACTTCTTTCCAAACTACCCTTTCACCGAAGTTGGAAAGATATATTATGCTTTTTTTTTAGCTTCTCTGAACAAGACCACATGAACTAAGAAAATAACACAATTAAATTTTATTCTATAATCCAAATGCAACACTTACCGTGGTCTCAATTCAAAGATGCTTTACAAGGGAATCTTCTAATATAAAAATATGGGTGACGGCTACAAATTATATTGACCTGACATCTCCGTCTTTCAGTCACTTACTAGATATTATATTATTCGAGGTAGTATAGGATGGTAAGTAGTTTGTACACTGTTAATTTAATTTGTGCCGTTTCATGTTAAATAACCTAGTAACTTATTTTCTACTATACATTTAACCTAGTAGGAAACTTATTAGATTGTAATCAAGTCAATATTAAGATATCCTAAATTTGTTAAATATTTGCTGAAAATAAAATTATTTACAATTTCAAAATAACATCTATTTAGCAGATGAAGGGAACACCCATCAAGTCCGTTGCCTGCAGAAATATTTATGGATATTAGAACGTAAAATTCATAGCCATAATTTAAATAAACGGTATCGCATGGCGATTTTTATAATCTGGATGTCACATCAATAGAAATTAAATTTCTTCTAATACGGCATCCATCAATTTCTATAGCGATTATAGAGAACCATGCAAATATATGCACATGGTCTTCTGTAGGATTCGAAGCCTGGTTTCTTTCTACCACAAAATTGGCTCACAATCTAAACGAAAACTTGTATTATGCTTATCAGATGTATTAAAATTTTTATTTTATCTACAAATAAGCATTAATGAATGAGGTATAAATATAATGCTACCTCTTGAACCTGTGCGACGTTCAGCAATTTAAATTACTTCATTTCTTTCTTCTCTAGACTATAGGCGTGTTCAATGTAGATTATGAGTATGTCACAGATAAACATACACTTTTTCAAATAAGCCATAGAAAAGCCATAGACTATCCAAATTTGTACAAGGTACGAAGGAAGGTACTATAAAGCAATATGGATGTCAAATACATAATCCAATGGAATACAATATTATTGGAGACCAAGACAAACAAATACAGGTAAAAATTGTAATAAGCTATTCCAAAAATAAGCGATCTTTCTAGCTCTTGATGATTACATACACCATTCGCCATTTCTTAATATCATGTTATATTGTTATTGAATACTTTTGCTGTTACTTTTGTTGGCACAGCCCCAAAGCTGGTTGCACTATGTCAAAGGGATTTTGGGATTTGCTTCAAAAGAATTTTTCTTATGAATGTATTCTAATTATAATTATTGTTTTAACTACTACTTGTGATGTTCATCAACCCTGACCCTAATCTACAATTTAAATTTTTTTTAAGTATGTTACCATTTTATAATTTTGTATATTATCTAAACAGTATGTATCTTCCGTTTAGGCATGAAGATGGCTCTCGAGTCGAAAGCGGTTGCTTTTGTTAACCTTTAGTCAATAAAAACTTTTTATGTGGTACTGATTTGGAGATATTCGCCTAGGAAAATGGTCTCATTTGAGTGCGATTTGAGTAAGATTCAGACAAGAAACTCCCATACAGTTAAAAACATTTTCAAAACTTAACCAAACTTTTGGAAACTTTCGTTCCTTGTTTTTATCTGTCTTTGTTACGGTCCTGTTAACTCCTTGAACTCCTAAAAAATACAACCAAAATGGTTTGTTGGAAGCCGCATCCGTCTGATACATTGCTTCGCGGACGAGAGTAGAAGTTATCTCTGGCTAATATCACTGACCGTTGACTGGAATAATGCTTCTGTAAAAGTCAGCGCTGTAGACAAGATTACGATTGTATTATTAACGTTGCAGTAAACTGGAAATTATGAAATGATTGAGCACTAAGGACTATCTGAAACATTAAAATTGTGTCTGATGGATATTATTTTTAAAGTATAATGAAGTAATTGAAACAATGCAATGAGTTTGCTTATTACCTTTATTTTCTTTTTTTTTTACAGAGGCTTCATATCTATTGATGCCTTTATTGATTTCCAGAATTTTTAGTTTAACTTTTGTGCACTGCGACATGGGCACTGAATGTCAAGATTTCAATAGATTTCCATGTTCGTCAACTTTGTAACCACAGTAATTTTTTTTGTATATTGCTGTCATTTTAAATGTTAAATAAATAATTTAAATTTTTTTAAAGCATTTTATTTAAGTGTTTATTCATTGTAAATAAAAGTGAAAGATAAGTGAAATTATTATTCTAAATTGAAATAAATGTGAGTCCTACGCGAAGAACATTCGGAATAATAAAATAACGATGATTTTTGCATGGGCTTTAACAAATTCCAGAATGGAGCTCTTATATGAATTTGATATTTAAATCAAAAAGGTAAGGGGTCCAAATATTATTTATCATGCAAGCTTAACGATTAAAGATCCCAATTATTATTACACTGGCGTATTTAAAAGGTAAAAGGCCAAATACTTTTACATGGGCAGACGTAAGGAGTAAAAAGGGGAAATATTTTTACTTGAACTGACTTAGGGGATAAGGGTCCAAATATTTTTAGATTGTCAGATTTAAGAAGTAAACGAATAAAATGTTTTTAGAATGGCAATCTTAAAGGGAAAATGGTTCAAATATTTTTATTTATAGGTACAGACTTAAGTGGCAAAGATTTTGATATGGGCTAGTTTAAGGGAGAGTGGGGCCAAATATTTATATATGGGCAGGCTTAAAAGGTAAAGCATCCACATATTTTTAGATGAGCAGGCTTAAGGAGTAAAGGACACAAACGTTTTTTCATGGATAGGCTTAAGGGGTAAAGCTATCAAGTTTGCTGGCTTCTCTTTGATTGATTTTATACAGGGTGGCTCATCTAAAACTTGACATGGGGGGTTTGGATAAAAATATAGTAGACGTAAAAAACGCTCATATACCTCGAATTTAGTTTCGATGTGGACAATATGTTCTCCTGTCTGTAGTACCGTTTTCTTAACCCTCGACTTGTGGGATGAACAACATCCAAAATTTAAATAGGGGTCGTCATACATCGTTTAAGAGCTCGTTGAATTTTCTAAACAGCAGTAAAAATGATTTTTGTTGTCGAACATAAACCTGTGTGACACTTGAACAAAGCAGTTGCACTTTCTTTGCTACGACATTTTTTTTTTTTAATTTTTGCTCATATTTTCATGTTCACCTGTAATACTTCAACACAATTAAAAAACCTGATAGATAATGCAATGTGTTTCTCAATTCATTACGATAAGTGGTTTTCGTTATAGTGTGGAACTGTACTTAGTTCTTAAAAAGAGAAACAATGGTTTACCCAATTGCTGAAAGGGTTAAGTTAATTAAACTTTATTATGAAAACAGCCGATGTGATAATAGGTCTGATGAATCGTTCAATCAACAATATGGGAAGAGTGTAGGCAGTATGTTTCAGATTTAGTTGCAAAATTCCGAGAAACTGGATCTGTACCAAACAAAATCTTTGATTGATTTTATATTTAGTATTTTGTACACTCAAAGTAGTTTGAAAGAAATAGTGATTACAAAAACTAGCTAAACTTTCTAATTAACTCCAAAATACCAGATTTTTTGTAAGTTCCTATACGACTTATTTGTTGTTTTATCCTTGAGACACATTTTTTGTTAATAATGTATTTATTATTTTGTTATTTACGAGAGAAATAATTAAATATTACCCAGGAATGTGTCGCCACTGCTCCTGGAACCAAAGAATTCGAGTATTTATCTCGAAATTTAACCTTTGGCAACCTTTATTTACCGATATGTCTGCCATATATTGAAGAGCGACCTATTGAAAACTTAATGAAGATTTATTTGGTCCCGTCGCTTTTTATGCTGTTGTTAGACCTGTGACAAATGAACCGTTTTTTTAATGTGTTTTGTCGAATCCAAGATTCAGGACTAAGGACTGAATAGGATGCGAATAACGCACGAATTTACTGCCAGACAGACGTGTCTTTCGGATTTATTGACATGCTTTTTTTGTAATATTGTAGATAGTTAGAGGTTGATTGTATTTTTTTGATGTAGAATTTTTTTCTATAATATACTTCGTCCTCAGCAATATGATAGCATAATGTAACTGTATTCCTTTAAAAATGATTTTTAACACGTTTGACATAAATAAGGAGTAAGTAATATCTATAACTCAAATTCATTCATTTCATTTATTGTAATTATTATTAAATAAATAAATCATCAAATAAAAAAATATATTTGCTAAAAAACAAACACGTATTTTACATCATTTTTAATTTAACACAGCAATACAAAAAATAAATACTTTGTATAATATTTATGCGGATTATCCTAACCAATCCAAAAAAATAAATACATCGCAAATATTAAATTTTGAATTCTCCGATAAATAAAACTGATTTAATAAATAATTACTAATGTTATAGTGCTTCTCTAATATATGAATAAATCTATATCACTATCTAATGTGAAACTGATTATTATGTAAAACATTTGTCTTTTGTCTAGCTACTAAATGGAAAAATAAAACTATATAGTAGCATTAATTTATTGATTTCCTCTGATATGATTCAGTGTTCTATTCCGGAGCCACTAGCTTCTACCTTTTTATAAAATACTAGTAGCATTAAAGACGTAATATATCCATCTCTATCTTAGATATGAGAAATATGACGCATGACGCGGTCAGTTTCCAGTTAGCAGAGAAACCTCAACATCGTAACAAAGAACACTTTCAAAGGCATATAATACTATAAAAAACTCATTAAAATCAATTCTAATAAAGGTACTAACATACCTAATTAACCATTTTAACAGATTTGAGAACGTATTATTCTTACCGTTGCTATATTGTTAAGCGAAAGCATGATGCGTTATTATTGCTCGAAGCTGTAGCTTGTTAACAGTTTTCCTCCCATCCATTTTTGGCCAGCAAGGCATAGATAAAGGCAAATCACACACGTGTGTGATCTGCTTTACTTTGCAGCGTTAAACTAACTCTCGAACAGAATCTCTAGCATTTGTTTCGGCAATTTAAACCGACAAACATTTTCGTATAAGCCTTCAATTTATTAAGCATTTTCAATTATATTAATGGTTGAATAGAATAATTATGAAATATTTCAATCAATTTAAAATCCTGATACATTTAGATTGAAGGTACCGAGACTTGAATGTACATTTCTTTGCTTCAATGACCGAAGATTTATCCATTATACCACGATCGTTAAATGCAATTTTTTGTGAGACGATGGTCCTAGTACGGATGGTTAATAAATAAAGAATCTGATTTTGGCAAAATTTCACACAGTAGTTCCATTTAACTACACAAAACAGAATTTTAAGACAGTGTTGAACAAAAGGATAAACATGACATCTATCAGAATTAGGTATGGTTAAGAATAATGTGGCATTAAATCACCGGAATACTACAGAAAGTCACAGATGTGGCCTAAAACTAGTTAGGCAATTATTTGGCAATTCTTTGGACAACAACATGCTTTAAAAGAAGATAAAATAACTAAAAATTAATAAAATTGTGTAAGCTGTCCTAAAAATAAGTATTTTTTATGTATCGTTCCATAGTTTACTATCATTCAAGTTACAGATTACTAAAATACAAGAAGAATTGAACAGGTCCAAAAGGCAAGATTATCTTAATATTAAATGTTTATTAGAAAGTGTAAAACCAATAAAAAATAAAGCAATATTTCAACCTTCCCATCATGGGGAGGTTATTACAATTACTCCAAAATTTGAATAAGCTATAACATCAGATCTTTATGTTTTGGACGTCCTGTATCTGTAATCAGAAAGATTCTTAGAATTGCTTCGAATATTATAAAGTTATACAAATGGGTCTAAGATGCGAAGAGAATTTGAGACGCTGTTCGAAAGTTTAGCTCAGATCGCTGCAATTACTCGATGCACGACTCGAGTCGTACGACTCACCGATATATTTCCTGACGGGTTCCGTGTAATAAGTCGTGTACTCGGTCTTAGATTTCGGCGAGGTCACTAACAGCCGGTGGATATAGTTGTCGTTCGACCACCTGGCTGGAAAACCGTCGTCGTAGTGTCTGAAACAGAAAAGAAGAATTTATTTTAGTATAGGTTGTCTCTGTACCTAACACACAATGTTCTGGTCCGTACACAGTCATTGGATGTAGTCCAAAGTGTAAGCAGTATTAAAGGCGCCAGGCAAAAACAATATTAAGTACCTAATTTATTCAAACTCGCTTATACTTATACGGATGACGAACGAAAATAAACCAGAATAAAACAAAATATATGAAAGTAGGCAGGAAAGAAAGTAATAAACAGGAATCCGTAAAAAAACAGAGTCGTACTAGACCCAAATTTAACAGAAACTGGAGAAAAGAAACAAAAAACCAATGAAGAAATTAAAGACAAATTCGGTGATGAAACCATCATAGAAGCAGCATCTGAAGTGAACAATACAAGTTGTGAGAAACAGTATTTAGGAGAAAAGTGGACGAGTATATTTTTTAGGAGCTTCGCTGGTAGTTCATGGAATGGCGTGCAAAGTATGCGATGCATTGTTCTTTTTAACTTTTATATATAATGAAACAACTTAAAAAAAATTAAAATCTACTATTAATTAAAAATGCTTTTTGTTCGAGTTTTTAAACCATGCCTTGAGCAATGGCTGAACAACGATACTGCTGAGTTGGTCGAACCAAATTCGCAGAAACATTGGCTTTACACTGTTGCCAACTTGAAATAATAGATACGAATAACAGAATAGGTGATGGAAGTTGTCTCCAACATATATGAGGAGAAACCCAACACCTTTGCTAAAAAGAATAACACAATGGATCCCAGTGTGACCACGATGAAGGGAAGCTCCAAAGAAAAAATTGCGAAATAATGTAAAAGATGACACAAGAATACTAGGGAAACGAACTTTTATAAACGACATTTGCTTTGTTTTCAAAATGAAACCGAATCTAGTGCAAATCTTATATAAATTAACATGGGAAGTTGATAAGGTCCAAAATATCCATTTTAAGGTCACGCGTCGAGGATCGAAATAAACATGATAACGTTGGCTCGTGGTTAGATAAGATGGGGGCCATCGTTGACAAGAAAAATATAGGTCAACAAAAAACAAAGCCAAAAGGGTAATTAAGTATATCTCCATTGTTATTGATCACACAAGAAAAACGGCGTTGTACAGTAGACGTGACGTAGAATAATGTTATAGAGATAAATCATGCACATCACATTGGCAATGCCAAAAGGACCCAAGTCTATATATTCGTTGATATTGGTCCGATTCAAACGGGAAAAACAGCGTTGTGAAGAATTTGTGACAAAAATTAACGTTGAAGAAAAAAAATCATGTGTAGTGGTAAAACCAAAAGGATCCAAGTTTATATCTCGGTTTTTATTGGTTCAATTTATATAAAACAAATAGCTGAAGGAATGATTAACTGTTTAGCAGCAAATCTGTTTACCAGCAAATCTGACAACAGCGCAGATGAAGGAGAAGATCAAAGAGACCTAGGCTTTGTTGGAGAAGGGAGCCAAAGAAGAAAATAAGACGTAAGTCTCTGCAGTAGCTAAAGCAGTAACGAATTAACACAACGACAAAGCTTTGCTATTATGGCAACGATTCAAACGGGACAAATTACAAGGTAACTGTGATTGATAATAAATCTATGATGTAACGTTGTCATAAGAACCTTAGGCATACATACGGACAAACAGATAGACGCACAGACGGAAGGACAGACAGACGTAGGGACAGAGATACGTAGGGACAGAGAGACGTAGGGACAGTCAGACGTTGGAACAGACAGACGTAGGGACAGACAGACGGAAAGACAGGCTGAAGAATAGACAGACAGACAGACAGATAGACAAACGGAAGTATAGATGAAAGGACAGATAGATGAATAAACGCAAGAACAGAGATAAGGAAGCGCAAGAACAGACAGACAGATAGACAGACAAACAGGCAGACATATAGATAGGCAAACAAGCGGACAGATAGACAAGCAGACGAATAGACAAGCAGACGAATAGACAGACATACACAAACGGACATCTAGATATATGGTGTATATAAAATGTGTATTTCAATAACCAAAATGATTAATGTCCACTTTCCATAATCTATACATTGACGTTTCGCATAAATGATTGATATGTTACTCTGGTATTAAAATAATTTTTTTAAATTAAACCGGGATTGAGTGAAAACACTGCAGTATGTTTTGATTGGCGTGTGTTGAAATAAAAGATAATTGTTAGTGGCCTTCAAATTTAATCTAGTTGACAACATCGCCAAGAGGTTCTTCTGTTATATCGGCCGGAGATAGTCGATACTTGCCGAACACAAATCATCTGATAAATGAGAGCGTAGGGTAGGGATGCGCAAAATTTTTAAAACATCGATGTTGACATCAAATGATACATCGAATACAGACTATCGATGTTGTAAAAAAATCGGAAAGAAAACATCGATTTTTGTAAACATCGATGTTTTTTATAAACGAACAAATAACAAGACATTGGAAAAAATCTTATTTTTATTTATTATTATTAATAGACTCAGAGTTAGCGGCTGCAAGGTAGTACGATCCTTCTTAGATAAAATATTAAGTCTATGGTATGATCGTACCTCCGGCTGGAATTTTGTAAAGTGGTAGGCGGGACCATCAGGAACTGTCATATGCAAGGATTTAGTTTAAAATTCCTGCCTGTGATTCCTGCAAACAAGACGTCAGAGAACTGAAAGTTGTAAAAAATATCGACTAAAAACATAAAATACGCACACTTAACATGACTCTTTAGCTCAGTTAAGCATTGAACATGTAGTCAATTTTGCATTTCGCGACGCGGTTCAATTCACAATAGATGCAATTTTATTTTTCCAAAATATGAAAATTAAATAAAAATACGTACTATTGTTGTTTATTTATTTTAAATACATTTTATTTAGCATAATAATAATAATTATTATTATTATTATCATTACTTTTAAAATATTTATCATCACGAACAGTTTTCATTTTCTTGCCAAAACTTGTTAATTTTCAAGAAAATGTGTAATTTTACATAGATATGTATGAATATTTTTAGTTTTTTTACAATAAAACTATGTCACTGGTTGTTTGTTTCGATAATTTTGTTCAAATTTATAATAGATTTAGATTTTTAAAATAGCAAACGAACCAGAACTATTATTAATTATAAGTTCTCTGACCAAATTTATTTTTATATTTATAACCAACTTTCCTTCTCCGAAAACAATTGATTTTAATACCAAAAATGGTTTATTTTTATTTGTTTTCTTTTCCCCAATATATTCAACTCAATATAGTTAGTAGATAATTTTTACACTTGCTGCGATTACAAAAGATGCCACTTTATACCTATAAGTCAAAATTAGAATAACTTTAATTATTAAAAAATATTAAGATTTAATTTCTGATAGGAACATTGCAAAAAACACGCTCAATTAACAATCAATTTAATTTCTACGATTAATTATATTAATTATTAGATGGAAAAAATCATTATTCAAATGGGAAAAATAATCAAAATCAAGAACTTTGACTCAATAATGAACAATATACAAATAAGTTGTTTAATTCGGGATTCACTAATTCAGGATAAATAATATTTTAATTTCTAATTAGGTTACCTGTCTAAATTTTAAATCTGTAAATCTAAAATAAAAAAATAAGTACCTACATAATAATAAAACTATTAACATTTTTAATAAAAAAAATATCTCCGTCTATGGGCGGTAAATCAAATAGGTCGTGACTTCCGACAAGCAACCTGTAGTTTCCTACACCAATATTTTTCGAGTAAAATTAAAAAACATCGATATTAGATAAAAAAACATCGATGTTAAATGAAAACATCGCATAAAAAAACATCGATAAAAATATCGATAATCGAAAGAGAAAAATCGATGTTTTTTTAACATCGATACATCGTGCGCATCCCTAGCGTAGGGCAATCGTAGAGGATATGCTCTGTACAGTGCGGATTCTGACAGCCACATGATATGGGGATGCTTCCATACTTGGTAATGACCAGTCAGAAGGCCTCCGAACAGGGGCATATTCTGTCTAGTCATAGTCAAGTATTGTCAGAATAAATTAAAAACTCTGCAGTTGCTTCTTTAATCCCGTCTTTCCTTGAATTTCTCAAGGGAATGTGATCTGTCACTACCATTGTTGTCCATTCAATAGAGAGACCAGGTCCAAAAAGTATTTGGTCGGCTACCTTCTTGGCTAGTGAATCAGCAAAACGGTTACCGTTGATCATTTTTAAGGTGACCATATTGTGGATGGTTACTTCGACGAAAGATATGTGACATTCTAATACGAACCCCTAAGTAAATTAGTGGTCTGTTTAGGGTGAGTAATGCTTGTCTGCTTTCTGTATAGATGAGCATGTTTCTTTCAGTGATATTGTCTCTTGTGATTTCCTTTGCTGCTATGAAAATCCCCGTGAGATTCACTATCTAACCATTCGCAGAGGTATTGACTTAAAACTGCCATACTACTATTAGTTTAATGAGTGAATTCATGTAAATATACAGAGCGAATCATGTTTTTTTTAAATATGTATAGAAGTCATTAAAATAAACATCTTTTCAAATAGCCTTTTCAAAAAAACTCAAACATACGAGAGATACAGAACTAAAACATCTAAATACGTGCCTGGACTTCTGTGTGAAAATTCTGTTTATGTTTTTATCTCTTTTTGCGAAGCATCATGTACAGGTTATTATGTTGTTTTAAGAGTGAGAAAGTAAATTCTTACCTTGTAGTGACCGAAAGAGGCCAGCTGTATCTTTGTACACGAGGAACCGGGTCGTGAATCCGTTTCAACAGAGACGCCGTTTGCGCGCGAATCAGTCTAGTCTCGTCATCGAATATCTGAAAAATTTAACAAAAATTAATAAACTATCACCTAACTTTAATTTGATACAAAGTTTTACACACCAAAAACAAAAGCATAGAAAATAAGCAAGGTTTCATCATATTATCCAGAGGTGGTAATTTCACTAGTATATTAAAGTAACGTGCTTTTTATAATAAAAGATGTGGCTAGAAAAAACCGTATTGCTTTTGTTTCACAATTTAAACATTATCGTCTTTCTAGATTATTTAATTTATGTAATAACAAATTCACTCTTTAGCCTGGTAATCTAATTTTTAACTTATTCCCACAAAGCATATTGACATAATACTGTCCTTGAGTTTGCAACGTTGCCATATTGTAATCCTACTTAATTTTATTCACTGTAGTTGAAGTGGTGTCCAAGTTGATGTTTGAAAATCGCGTTATAAGTAGAAGAGAAGAAAAGGAAAATATATTTAGTCATTAGTACATCACAAAGAAAATGTATGCAAGTTATGTAGCATTCTACGTAAGAGTTACAAATCGTACTTATCTAATCCTTTAACTGATTTATTATGCAGTGTTGGCGTTTTTAGTTTCTTTGATTATTTCCTTATTGTATTTCCAACAAATATATTTTATTATGGATTAGGTAATAATTATTACTTGAGGGAAATTTTGCTTAGATTAGGCAAAGTTTAATTTAAATTTAAATATTTTCATTTTATATACAGTTTATATACAGTTTTATATACAGTTATAAGTAAACTTTTTAAAACAAAAAATATGGTTTTGGATTACTTCAACTTTGAATAATCACATAGGTATTTTCTAAATTTTAAATAATCTTGAAACTAATTTAATTTGTAACTTGGCAACGTTGCTATTTTCATTACAGAATTTGTCATATAAAGTGCATATAATCTATAAACAATAAATGAGTTTTCTAATAAATTTTTTCGAAAATTTATTTACAAAAACTTGGTAGTCTTTAAAAAATGTTCGCGAAATTAACACCTTTGGATTCCTTACTGGACCTTTTATAGCAAAACAAAAATATTAGATATATAACAATAGAAAATTTTATAGAAATAATAGGCAGTTTTACTAGAGTAAGAAGCTAATAAAGCAGCCTATAAAACAAATATGTTTTCTATTAACATTGACCAAGAAAATTGTCATAAGTTGAGTCTTTTTCATACAAAACAAATTTTTTAAATAATTTTCTTTCGTAAAGGAAACTATTTCTAAGTTTTGAGTATGCATTTGCTTTAACATAATAATTATCAGCCCGAAATTATTTAAAAAACTGTTATTGAGCGTTTTTACTACATCCAGTCATCAATAGAAATTTTAATTGTGTAAATATATCTTCCTTTTTAATGACAATTTGTAACATGTTTGGGTTAAATTGTTTATTAATTTAATCATTCCGCTAGTGTAGGTACCAAGTTATCTAGAATTAAACCGATTTTCAGCTATTGTAGGTAATACTACATATTTCATTTGCAACTGCAATTAACCTAATTTACTCCATCTAATATCTAACACATTTGACCTAGCCATTTTGCATAATACAGTTATATAACACTGAAAAAAAAAATCATTGTTAATAATACCTAATATACTATGCATCATATTTTTAGAAAAAATACGAAGTAAATACACTTAGTTAAAAATAAAACACGTAATGCTCTTCACAGGTTTCGATAACATCAAAATATTCATCAGGAAACGAATTCTTATCAAAACAATATATTTTTTTTTAAGTATCTAATAATAATAATAATAATAATAATGTGAAAACTCAAAAATGGTCTAAGATGGAAAAATGGACAAAGCAGTATTTTAACGAACGTAGGTATACTTTCAAAAACAAGCTTTATTATATTATTGCTTGAGTCTAAACAGTAAAAATTTTGAACATTTGATTTCATTAAACTGCGTTTATTTTAATATCTGATTTCAGAAACTTTTTTTAAATAGAGATACTAAAAAAAATCTAAATAAAGGCAGGGTGTCATTTAAATTTGGGTCAATGATGGCTGGATGTAATGAATATCACGTTGGGGTAATATGGAATATACTATTAATTTTCCCACCCATTCTTTAATAATATCTCAAAATTTGAAGTTTATGATATCTTCTAAGACACCAGATATAATTTCATTTTTCACATAGATCTCCAGTTATATATTATATGAGGTGCATAGAAATAATATAGAAGACCAATATAAATCGAAGATTTAGGCAGAAATTGAAAACTACTGTGCAAAAAAACGCATCTCTGCACAGGACATCTCAGAATAGTGTGTCACTAAGCATACGCAGTATGCATGACTCAGGTATCGGTAACTGACATAGCCCGAACTGAAACCATGTTTTAGTTTCAAAGAATGGACACTCGTGGCGCTCTACAGAATTTACAGAAATCCACAATTAATGGTGGAAAGAGTGGGAGTTGGGGGAGAAGTGTCATTTGTCATTAGTCAGTGGCATCCATTACCAGTATTTATTGTGATTAATATCATAATATTGTCAATAATTATTGTTTAATTGTTTGTATTTGGGAGTGTTCTGGATCCTGGATAAACAAATAGTAAGTATTTTGTAAATTAATATTTATTGTATTGTCAACATGGTCTTGTTCAAATGTGTTTTTAATTTTCAATTTGTTTACTTCATCTTGCTGATGATTGTGAGCATATTTTAATATTTTGAGGTGATTTTTTGTTTAAAAGTTGAAATATGTCGTGTTTTTGTTTGCCAAATTGTTTTGTAAACACTCTGAAAAGGCATCGTTTACCCAGACCCAATCCTGATAATAATTTATTTAATATTTGGGTATTGGCTGTTCGCAGTTCTTTTTTCAATAATAAAACAACACAACAAATTTGTAAAACTATTTAACATTTTTAAGATAAGTTTAAAGTTCCTGGTACTCGCAGATGTCTAACTTTTTTTTTATTTGTTCTAGTACAATCTGTCTTCAAGCCGTTTGGAGTGGCAGTATTGTAAAGTGGAAGACAAACCAGTCTAGTCAGGGAAGTAATATTTACTGTATCTTTTTTACTTATGCCTCACTTTCCCTACTTTTTATATTAATTTAATGCAGATTGTTACTTATACTGTTTTTTATTTGTTCTAGTACAAACTTTTTCAAACCATTTGGAGTGGCAGTATTGTATTGTGGAAGACAAAATAGCCTAGTCAGGGAAGTAATACCTTTTTTATTCATGCCTCACTTTCTGTGCTTCCTAGCAGATTTAAAGGGTGCAGGCAAAAAAGGGGGCTTGTCACAATTACCAAAATTTTCAGGCAAGCAAATTTATTTAGTCTGACTAAGTACAAACTTTTGATACTTTGAGGTAATTGATTACAAAAAGATGTTACTTTGTATATATGCTGCCTGATTATATTGTAATTTATTAATAAAATTAACGGTTGTAATTTTTTAAATTTAAATACTGAAAGTGCCAAATAGTAGAAAAAGTCCTTGGACATAATTTGAAATGCACCGTTTTGCATTTGCTAATTTGGCTTATTACATGGAAATATTCCGAGCATTTGAGAAGCCTCGGCGTTTCTATTCCCTTAGAACTAAAAGAGTCTAAAACTAGTTGCCAAGAACCGCTCGACTATGCTATTAAGGGAAAATTTTTGTTCTTTTAATTTAATTTTTTTTATTATTTTTATTTGCCACTGGATGTTTCTTCTGGACTCCAAGACCCGTAGGCTGGTGACAGTGCTGTCTTAATCCCTTAATAGTATATTAACAACAGTAGATAAAGACCTATCAGTAGTTATAAATGGTCTTTAGGCTTCCTGGTTGTTACACAGTTTAGATATGTGAAATATTGCAGTAAAATATCTTATAAACATTTGAATAATAAACTGATAATTATGTGTAATTACATGTACACAAATATATTAAAGACAAGTTCACCATGCGATCACCTAGTTTTAATATTGAGTTGGTAATACCGCTTAAATCGGGGGTTCCAAGGCTATAAGACGCTTACTTTTACGGAAGCGTTAACTTATTTACAATCTTTCAGTTTGTAAAACGCGTCTATTTGTGATATTTTGGTTGTATTTTGTGATTTATTATTTAATTACACGGAAAATTTATTTGTAACAAATATCACTAAATCGAAACCATCTGAGATGTCAGATCACAGGCAAAATCCCATTATTGTAGCACTAATAGTTTGCGGAAATATTAATACCAATTCAAATTTTATGTCTTGTCTCTCTTAAGGTTGGTGTTCGCCCATAGAAATCTGCCGTATATGCGCGGTTGACTTTAAACTTTTTGGGAATAATATTCTTCTTGGCATTAATTTTAATAATTAAAACCGTTCATGAAGTATGCCTGTAGGGGATATAAAAACGTCTTAAGAAACGGAGTTGTTTCGAAAAATGACTTTAACTTTTGGCATCTATAATAATAAAGGACATCACAATATTTATTTAGTTTTTTTGAAAGCTAAGTTAAAAATTATATAGAGTTTTTATATAAAAACATAATTATATTTTGTATGTGATATATCACGTAACATATCGGAACGTTACAAAGTTAAAAACATTTTTAAGTATTTTCCTTTATCGATTTTGTAAAAAAAATTGCGAAATTGTCCAGTTAAATAGTTTTAGAGATATGAGCAGAAGTAGCCCTTAATCCTTTCACTGCGGTAACCAAATATTTTTTAAAATTCTTAGATCTGATCCGGTTCTTCAAAAATACATTAAGAACAAACCCAAATAAAGTATCTTCATTGCAGGAAACGACTTTATTCAAACTCTTTTGTTTGAGGGTTTGCTGCGGTAATCGATTATTTTTTGCGTGATATATAAAATAATCGTTTGCCGCAATGACGGCACTCTATTCGTTTTCAAAAAAAGTATGTTCCCGCAGTGAAAGGGTCAACAAGGACTTTCAGAACCATGTTGACTTGATTTTTTTATATAGAAATACCTCTAAAAATGCATGACTGTGACTGTGCATGTGCACTTATGTATTCGATCAATATAA